GCGATGTGCTGGTATTTTATCTTTGTCGGTGGTTCCCATGATTTTCTCCCTCTAGCACACCGCCCTTTGTTATGTACCCTTGTATATGGCCTTGACTGAATGATCTAAGATATAGTCGTCATCCAGTCGTCAGTTTTTCCAATTTTATTGGTGGAAAGGTAGGCAAACGCCGTTGTAACCTTTGATTTTCAAGAAGAAAAATAATTTCTCAGTTATTTTATTCGGATTCTTTCTCTGCCTACACTACCTGTTCTGATGTGATCAGATGATACCGATTATCACTACCCTTATCGCATTCCCCACCCTCTACTTATAAGAAACGAAGAAGAGGTCAAACACGGGAATAAGGACCCTTGCGCTACCTTCCAGAGGCTACCTACTCCTGTGTTGTAACTCTAAACTTAACCCTCTGAAATTTGCCGCAAAGTCACTTGCAATATGGGCGGTCGGCCTTTTCGTGCCCTGCCGACGACAACAGTGCGCATAAATAAATTTCACTAGCTACCCACATGTTTTAAGTAATTCGTAACTGGTCCGATGAGAATTTCTAGGAGACTAACGTATGATCTTGATTGGGGATTCCTCAACTTAGGCACACCTTCCAGTTAAACACGGAATTTATTTAGTGCAGACAATCATTAATGGGCGTAGTGCGTCGAGGACTTCGGCTTCATAGGCATTTCCTTAAAACTGTCTTGACGCGTCAGAAGATGAGTCACCTACTGTAGGTTAGGAGTAAGCGAGTATCGATTTGTTCTCACAACCGGTAGGCTGACTGCTCTACCTCAACGACTGATCATCCAGCGGTGGTCGACAGTCCTAGTGAAGCCGCGTGGATCCTTCTGTTTGACCTAGCTTTTTCGTGATAACGGACCCACTTTTGTGACTGCTCAACGTCCATGTCAGTACGTGTCTACTGGGATAAGGCCTTGATGCTCCAGTGCCCTCCAGACTTCTTTATGCGACGTTCGGCAAAACTGGCGCCTCGGTTTTCCAGCGTTTGCGGCTATGGGAGAAAAGTAGAACTGTCTTCCTGCAATAGACCAGTGTTTGGGTGTGGGGGAAGGGGCACAGACTGAGGAAAGGGAACTGCTCACCGGATCGAGGAAATTGGTTGGCTGACGTTTCGAAGAGCTTGGGCGGCCCTCCATTATCAAAACGTCTAGGGCAAAAATCGATCAGAATTTTGCATACACAGCCGAATTAGTTGGCCTTGGGCTGGCCGATTTTTTTTCTTCCTTTCGCTGCCTTGGCCTACTGACCGTCGTTTCTGAGTGTTGGTGGCCTCCTGTATTATGTGCCGTCACCTCAATTGGGGTTAGTTGCGTTTGTGCCCCCTCCCCTTTGGGTGAATTGGTCGACAGGCTGTGTTGGCCCGGCATTTGTCAGCTCTGTATGACTGTCTTGTCCTCGTCATGGCGTATGTAGTGACGCAGGACTTTATAGGCCGCAGGACGGTTTAGATGCCTGTTGATGGAGTTGGCAACTGAGTACCAAGCCTCAAGCGTGAGACGTTCAGTCCTTGAGGTGCCCCGGCCTAAGACGGCTGCTCCTTGAATGTCAAAACTGTGGCCAGTTTCTCCGATGTGAGCCGCAAGCTGTGAGGATGAGCCTAGTCTCCGAGTTGCCAGTTTGTGCTCATGAACCCTCAGCAGTTGTCTATCAAATACGTTGCAACGATGGAGACTGCAACTACGTTGGGGAAACCAAACGGAAATTGCAGACCCGCCTACATGAGTATAAACTGGCAACTCGGAGACTAGGCTCATCCTCACAGCTTGCGGCTCACATCGGAGAAACTGGCCACAGTTTTGACATTCAAGGAGCAGCCGTCTTAGGCCGGGGCACCTCAAGGACTGAACGTCTCACGCTTGAGGCTTGGTACTCAGTTGCCAACTCCATCAACAGGCATCTAAACCGTCCTGCGGCCTATAAAGTCCTGCGTCACTACATACGCCATGACGAGGACAAGACAGTCATACGGAGCTGAAGAATGCCGAGTCAACACGGCCTGTCGACCAATTCACTCAAAGGGGAGGGGGCACAAACGCGACTAACCCCAATTAAGGTGACGGCATATAATACAGGAGGCCATCAACACTCAAAAACGACGGTCAGTAGGCCAAGGCAGCGAAAAATAGAAAAAAAAATCGCTCAGCCCAAGGCCAACAAATTCGGCTGTGGATGCAAAATTCTGATCAATTTTTGCAATAGACGCCTTGATAATGGAGGGCCGCCCAAACTCTTCGAAACGTCCGTCAAACAATTTCCCCGATCCGGTGAGCAGTTTCCTTTCCTCAGATCACCGACCCAGATCTCTTACGTTTGCTAACCTAAGAAGCAAAGTATACTGCTTCACATCATCCGTCGGCTATTTTTAGACTTCCTTGGGGGGTCCATTCAAATGCTGCACAGTGGAGCAAGGCAGCATGTTTCCGTAGGGCTGTCTTAGCTGGGTGGATAGTTTGGGTGCTCGGGAGTTCGGAATTTTTTAATCACCCTTCCCTTGGAGGCCTGGAACTTCATACACCAAAGTGCAGCAGCACTCAGAAACCTATCGTGAGGAAACAGGTGGGCAAGTATGCCTTGTTTCTAACCGGAGTAATCCATTGCGGCAGCGCTGAGTGTTATCTCGCCCTAGAAGAGTATTGGCGCCACTCTTTCCATGGGTGGTTACGTGACTCCTCTCGGGGTTACTCTGACTTAGCACATTTATTTCTGAAAAAATTAAAAACACCGAAATCAATGCACTGGATTATTTGCCAGTAGACCGCCGGAGGGCTCACTGGTGAGTCAGACATCTTGCGGTTGTGTCAAGAAGGGGCAGAATATCAGCGAAATCTGTGTACCTGTACTGTCAGTATCGTAAATCACGCAACGTGTGACACGGTTGCATAGGAGTAGTGTCCACCAATAAATCGTGTCTACAGAACGGAACGCAGACAATTACGTTTTTGGTCTTTTAACTCCGGGTTAGACCCTCCGCGAGCAACAGCGTAGCTATGAGTTGTCAGTAGCCGGGAACCGTGGTCGTAATAGGCACGAAATCACGAAATAATGGTTTGTTTTTCTCCGTCTCCTGTTTCACTTGATCGTCAAGTAGTTGGTCTGCGAGCCCGCTGTCCTGTTCATTCTCCCTTCTTGTTTATATCACCCACTGGCCGTTGGCCGTTGCCATGCGACCGCGTGTGAAGGCTCTGCAATGTAACTTTCGAGTTAAAAATGGAATCTCGTGTATACCACTTTGTAATCGGGCGGAGCAGTGAACACCAGTCTCACCGGACCTTTAATATTCTTGATTGCAGATGACGAGACGTGGGTCAGTGCTGCATGCACCAGGAAATTTTTACTCAAATCCTTGGTGATTTGTAGGACATGGGATCTGCTTGCCCTCATCTGATGATGGCAAGCGGGTCGAAAATGATCGTTCCTGCCGCCCTTGTTTTTGTCGGCCTAATGTCATTATTTGACAGGACGGCGGAATTAGTGGATACGTGGCAGACGAAGAACGCATATGGACGTCCCAGACTTGCACCTTACAAGCAACATTCAGCCCTGGGAATATTCAATTAGCAAAAATTTCCAATATGAGCTAACCTTTGAGAAAAACGGCATTAGGGCGAGTTTGGTTTGTTGAGAGTTTATCCCTTTTGGGGAAAACAACCGCAACATACAAGCACAATAAATAAAACGCAAGGCACATTTGTGCCAAAATTCGGGAAATGGTCGGATATGGTATCGTAGCCGCAACTGCACTAAACAGGCCCCAGACCTCTGTAATACGGGACCGGTGATAATAGGGGGTTTAACACTAACCCCTAACCCTAACTTCTAAAACTAACCCCTAACTCCAACCCCTAACACTAACCACAAGCCCTAGCCCTAACCCCTAATAGTAACCCTTGACCCTAGCCCCTAACGGGTGCGGCGACGAAATAAGATCTTACCGGTGAAACAACGGACGACATTTTAAGTTTTCAAATGGAAAAGATTTTTTATTTGTGACTATAGTCGCAGGCGTGTGAAAACAGAATTCCGGGGTTATTCCAATGCGATAACATTCCGGCATTTGTCTAAACATCTCGGGCATCTGTGCTAAGTACTCCCGCGAATAATAATTGTTATGCATTCACCCCCGGATTTTCATTGCCTGTAATTCATGCATTGCGCCCACTTAAAGGAAAACTGTGTCATCTCCTAGATCAACATTTGAAGTGGCGGATTCTTCTGAATTATCCGAATTATTTGAACCAATCACGATTTTGGCCCTAAGGCACATTAAAACTCCCTATAAAGTAGGCAACTATTCACCTTCGTTTTAATATCTCTCGAGAACTGGCGGCCCATCTACAAGAATGTGCAGGATCCTGTGAATCTTTGCCAAAGAACATGCGTATTCTGAGGTTTGGAGAATTTCAGAGTGGACGAGTACACTGGTAAAGTTTCGAAATATACAGGCATTTGCAAATTTTCAAGCAAAAAATTTTGATCTCATTTACATAAATACTTTAGAAGAATATAATTTTTCGCAAGATGGTCATGGTAGATTAGTACTTGGTGCGTGTTCTCATTCAATATTACTGTATTGCTTTGTTTTTTCTGTAAATAAGATCTTAAACTTTTTAGGGAATCAGAATGCGGTGTCGAGTTTTTGTTGGTCAAGGCCAAAAATCAGGCAGTGAAAAAAACGCAAGACTCAATAAAATGTGATGTGGGTGACATCGTTAAATATTATTTGTTATTTTTTAAAATGCCCTTTAGTGAATTATATTTTGCCGGTCTAAAAAATAAAAAAGCTATTTAAGAATGCAAAGAACACCGTCGACGGCCTAACAAAAATTTAAAAAAACAATTTATTTCATTTAAATGAGCATCTCATAAAAGCATTCTTCTTGTGTTTGCCAAAGCTGTCAACCGGTAATTCGAGCTCCCGCCAAATTAGACACTCAGTTTGCTGAGACGCAAAAAATATAGAAATCATTGGAACTTTGAAGTTCGCTTTATTCTTTGGGTTCGCAGAAGTGCCATATATTATTTTCCTGTTCGGCTTTATGGGAATTAAAGTGCGTTTTGGCGCAGACTTCATAATCCGAGCCAAATACGTTTCTAAAAATGGATGAATTTTAATTCAAATTGTCCTAAAAAAAGAGTCAAGTTATTCATAAAACAACGAGTCTCTTCAACTACATATCAAACGCATTAAAAAGTCACTAGCATGTATGCATCCGTAGAATATTGCACGGATAAACCATCATTTTGCCTTTCAGAATGCAAGGGTCATCGGCCGAGCCAATGAAAAGATGGCCAGATTGCTGCTCGAAAGTTGGTCCTCGACTGGCACCCCTAACATAACCATAGAACTGCATCCTGCCTACCAGACGCTAACGCTACGAACAAGGCTCGAGTCGGAACGAACAAGGTCACTGTAACGATCGAGTCCAAATAAACCTCCATCCATGAATTGTTCTCTTCTTTTTCGTCACTTTCATGGCGTGAGGAACACATTATGCGTATGTGTATGTGTGTATATGTATGCAAAATAACATTACCAACAAAGACAAGGCAATGTTATTTTTCCTATATCAATAACCGTTATGAGGCTGCTATAAGGTCTCTAGATTACGATCCAGGGCATAAAGGGACAAAATGTCTGGTAACGCGATAGGTGAGCACCCTGTTACCATAAGTTACCATGAGCATAAGTTAGCATGTTTAAAAAAGCTATATACCTAGGACATTTTATTATAGAAATCGTAATATATGTTACCTCATCAAAACACTGGGTTCCAATGAAAGTGCCTGGTTCGTTTGAATATGTTTGATAATTACTTTATCACCAGCCTAAAATAGCAGTTACCGAAAATGTTAAGAGTCTCACATGATGTAAAAAATAATAAGGATTGCGAGTTTAAGTTCACAAGCAATTTGCTTAAACATAAAATCAAGCACGATGAGATCAGGACGAGAAAATTGAGAGCAACGGACCACTAAAACCCACACTTTCAGATTAACTCAACATTATAAAAAAACTTTTATTTCGATCTTAGCACAATGCTCCAATGACGTCCGAGTCAAAAAGCGTCCCAATCACAGAGTATTGCACACATGTGACTCTTCTTTGCAGTTTTAAAGCCTGACTTTTCGTTAAACCCCATGCAGTTTTGACGATTCCTTAGTGGCTTCCATTATGTTTTTCTAAACATTAACGCAAAACGGTGTTGTTGTAAACATTTGCTCTGCTCAGTGCGATAGTAGAGGACACTGAACAAACTACCAAAATGTTTCTTCTACAGCCGAACCTAGGCAAACTTTCTCCAAGTTTACGAAAATGTTCAAAACATTTTATCTTGTGCAAAAAATGAAAACGTCTCCTGATTTCAATATTAATTATGAACAAATCCCACGCTTGGTAGGAGAAAAACCAAAAACTTACGGGGAAGCTTGGCCGGGATTTTTGATATACAAAAATAAAGGCGTGCAGTTTTTTGATAGAGAATTGAGTAATACTAAAAGTTTAACCTTATGCCCATATCAGTTAACATGTCATACATTTCCTTACCTTTAAACACAGAAAATTAATCAATTGTCTTTTTACCAATGTCGATTTTTTACGATTATAGGGATCAGGATGCTACTTAAACCCACAATTAACGTATATAAATAGGCTTTTGGTAAAAACGACTTGATAATCAGGATACCATGTTCCTTGGATGAGTTTGATTACCTTGACCGGAGTTCCTTCATATTCAAGACGTTCTTTGGGATTAAAGTGCTCAAGTTTCCAATGAAATACAAAGGGAACTTCGGTTTCCTTGGGGATTTTACCGTAAAACACTGCACATCCACCAGACTTTGGCCCGGGTTCGCCGAGAATTGAAGGTCTGCTACCAATGGCAATAACATTGGCGCTGTCGTTCAAGAAAGCTCTTTCCTTATCGGTCTCCTCTCGTTGTAAACACAAATAAACCGCTTCGCCATAAACAACACGGCGAACGGCAGTCGAATCGCCAATGCTAGAGATGTAAAAAGGTGTCCTTCAGCCAGAAAATATGAAATACTTTCACGAAAATTATCTAAAGGAAACAGTGAACGTACGAAATCGCTGATTAGACCAATGATCAAATACGCCTGGTTGCATCTTAAATACTAAAGTGCCATAGTTCACAACGGTACTTGTGCTAAGCAATCAAAAAATTGTCCGTGGATTTTCGTTTAATTTAATTGCTGACTTGCCGCCTAAAGCCTTTCCAAATCTGCCAATTTTCATGATGAAAACCGAAACGAAATAAACGATTTTTTTTCTAACTTACCTTTTAATGTAAAAACAATTCCTGAAAGACGGTTGAAAGGTCCTAGTGGCTACAGCAACCCCATTGGAAATTAGTTCATTGTAAAGGTCCTCTTCAGTTTTGAAAACATTTGGGGATGGTATGCAACCCAAAGAAAGACAGAAACTACGAATGATGTCTTCACCACTACTTGGAGTATCATTGACGTTGCATTGAATAAGGTAAGGTTCGTTGAACTGCAAAAAGGAATCCTTCGACAGATTCTTTTAAGATAAAGCGTGCACAAATTACGAACTTTGCAGTCTCTCTTCTGCATTAATGACTCAAGCATTTCGCATATACGGCGAAATTCAGATTCTTTTTCTTTTGTACGTCTCAGGCACGCCTAAAGATAAAAGTGTCATATTAAATTACCTCCTCTTCTATCTCATCCTCAAACCAATTTCCAATTCTAACTGGCAAATCATACGTACGAATCATGTCGAACGTAGACGAAATTTAAAATACCACTGATTACATACAACTTAACGCAGTAAGCTCAAACGGCTTACGTAAAGGTCAATAGGTTGACTAGACGTTCACAGACCTTTACTTGTCAAACTTCCTACGTTTTTTGTCATTCGCATACATTTACCTCCGAAACATGTAGAATACTGTCAAACAAGTGAAATCTCTTGTGCAAGTCACGAGACAATTCCGAAGAAAAGCTATGAAACAGACTATAACTCCAAAAACACGAAAACGGAAATGGGACGGAAGCACGACATGAACAAAGTAGACAGGGAAACAAGCAAGGAACAATTAAATTCCTTGTAAATGGAAACTTTGCCTTATTTGAAGGGCTTTAGGTCGCCAGCTATTAGAAATGACAACCTCGAGGAAAAAAACTTACATTTAAAATTATATGCTTAACCCTGGAAGTTCAAATACAAATGCCTAAGGCCTTTAGTTCAAAGGGTACTACTGCTTCCTTTCTCCTTGTCAAATATTCCTGAAGATTTGATTTTGTTACAACTAGCGCATGATTATAAGGAAGATGAGGCAATTGATCAACAGCTTAACTCAAATGTATTTTATCAAGTTTTTGACTTTGAGAATTGTGCGCTGCATATACTAAACGATGTCGGTCCTGAACAAGATAACTGGTCTCGCGTACATCAAATACAAAAACGCTAGTTCTTTCCCACCAACTACTACCACAAGACCAACTGAGTTTTTTCAAGTAACATCATTAGTCCGTGTTAGTTGCTTGGATATTGTGGATACAATAAGAGTAATCTCTTGCACCCGCAAATTCCTCACGGCAATACGTTCAGATTTGCTGATGTAACAATCGACTCTTTTCCTTTTTATCGATAGGAGTAGGGAGCTCAAGGGATAAAGCTTTATTCTCTTAATAAACTGACTTAAACTTACTATTCTTTCGTTCTACTTTTTACATGTAACCTTGCCCAGCACGCATAGGTTGCCTGTGCCTGGTAGCCGACTGTCACGATTTTCTCCAATTTGACAGCATGGAGGTGTGGACAGCTGCGATGGGAATTCACTGTCAACCGTCTCTTTTCAGTTGATTATTTCCCCGACCTGATCGGACCTAAATCTGCAGTGGAAAATGAGCGACCATTCCTGGATGACATCACGGACAACGATGCCTGACTGGAGGTCGGACACCTTCCGCTTTCTACCAGAGCATGAAGCTCCCAGCCCCTAACTGCCTGCGTTCATTTAGCTGTTTTCTTTCGCATCATTCCATTCGCCACATTATTCACCAGCAGTTTTTCAGGCATAATTCTATAGTATCGGGACCCTCTCGATTGTTACGTTGCATTGGTCTTCGTTTGCGTAATACAAAACCAAATGACGGAATGTAGACTGAATTAAAACAATTTCGATAATTAGACGTGTTTCCAGCCGCAAGAATAGATAGTTATTGAGCTTCCAGTCGAAGCTGACGGTGACACTGAATGAGGCCAAAATACGTGTTTATGTATTAAACGTATGATTTATACCATGTTCGTGAAATAGAAAATTATGTCTTATGCGAGAAGAAAGGTTGTTCCATGCAGGTTAGATTATGAATGCAGAAGTGGAATACCTTAAGTGTGTCCCGCTATGGGAGTAGGGACAGATGTGAATGCGGTTTTAGTGGGGATATGCAACGTGGAGCAAAAGCAGAGAGTGAAGCTGGAATAGCGGATAAAAGCTTCCAGAGGACTCATTCAAGGGAGGGCTGGGGACGCCGTCCTGAGGCAGCTCACGTTTACATATTCCCTATCATCATGTTGTATTTGAAAATGACTTACTGCCCCACAACAATGAACGTAGAAAGAATTCTGAAATGGCCAGGAATCTGTAGGGTAGTCTTGTAAACAAGTTCGGCAGTGGAGCACTCAAGTCGGGTTTTAGCAAGGTGCGAATACCGAGCATGGTCAAAGAAAGATGCTCACTGAAATGAGTGGGGTTATCATAGGCCCGGAACGAGGTTTTGAGCTGACGGTGGAAAGCTTCAAATAGGCCGTTGGACGGGGGGTGGTTAGCTGTCTTGCGTATGCGGAAGCATCGAGGAGGTCAGTATGGGTCTTTATAAGTTTATATTCAAATTGCCGGCCTTGGTCGATCTTAATAGTTGTGAGAACATCATAATAAGATATCCTGTGTTACAAAAAAACACGAGCGACAGTATCTGCAACGATGTTAATTATCAGAGTTGCGATGGGCCGTAGCATAAATCGGTCAATAGCTGTGAGCGAATACTTGATATCACGGGTTGCTGGCACTGGACCCCCGTGCATATGTGCAAAAAGTGCGGCGGGTGGAAGAAAAGTCTTAACTGGAACCTTATTGTGCCGTCCGATTTTGGCTTGATGACAGATCAAACATCGGCGAGTCCACTGGCGGGTAACAGTTTGTGCTGGGCCAGACGAAACGATCGCTGACGAAGCGCTAAGTAACCCAGATGCCAGGTTGGGCAAAATTGTGTAACATGGTGAAGACATCTCACCACATCTTCTTTGTTACTATAGTGCGAGAGAAACCGCGAGACAAGTCGCACAAGATTGTGTTGGAAGTGACGAACAGAGGGGTGGCATTAACCTGAAGGCTAGTACGCTCTAGTTGTTCTGAAAAATCCGGCTGCTGCTCTAGCTCAGCCATTCCCTCCAGGTCGATGAAAGCGCCGGTAATGGCATTAGTTCCAGGCCGTTGTCAGCCGGCCACACCTGACCCCAGGTATACAACGCCCGGGATTCAAACCAGTCATCTTAAGGCATTGAGTTCACCAATCTGCCACTGAGCCCTCAGTTCGACCGTCGATTCTGACAATGTCCACCGTCAGTTAAGTTACCGGATTTAGTTCTCACCTGCAGACCGGGCTTTGGAATGGTGACTTGCGCGCGAAGTAGTTTATTGTAAAAGCAGACTTGCTCTGCGTCTACCACACACCCTCTCTTCCTCCACTTACTTGAGCCCGACGTCGCGACGGACTCCAGAAGACCGGAGATGCGACCAGGCGCAGATGGCCAGCTTGGCGTTAGCCTGTATTTAGGCGTGCCACTATACACCACACGTATTACATTTGTCATAGCTGCGCAGCCAAAAAATACGTGCGGGATCCTGATTAAGTCCTCGTGTTGGTCCCCTACACCTACGGCGCGGCCTGTTCTAAGGGAAAATGCCAGTGAGTCGGGAGCCTATCGTCTAGTCCATTGCCATCAGGAATGTCAGTTACCGTAGTATGGACACTCACCGATCGGGTTATGGGGCCTGCTCATCCCGCTGTGCCTTGGGGCTCAATGTAAAGTATTCACTGGCAGCCCTATAGCGACCAGTAATTTATTCAGGAGGGGCCCATGGGTAGTGCTAGACTTGTGGCTGCCCGCTCTCATGTTCGTCCGCGCCATCACTTCTCCCTGCCGCCTTCGGTTCGCGAAGTACACATAAGAAGCGTTGCGTCCACGCATGACTCAATTTCCGTCTTGCGACGCCGTGATACTGACTGATATTCTCCTCCCCACCAAATGACCGCAGCCAAGCGGACTTCGGGCACATGCATCCTGACCGACTTTTGCTTGGCGAGAACTTCAGAGGCAACTGTTTGCGATGCTGTGTGTACACTCTCGGCCTCAGAAAAAAAATCGTCCGCCTAATTGTCTTCGTTACCTTCTGATTTAGGAACCTCCAAGTTGTCGACCATCGCACCTTCGACGAACTCAATGACAAAGTTCTCGGGTTCAAATTTCAGGTGCTGCGAACCTAAAGTTGATTATGACTGATTTATGACGACTATTAGGCCAGATGTGGCTATTCCAGTCTCCCTTTTCTTTGATAATAAAAGAGACGAGGCGAGTTCCAGGAAGGAGTCGCGAAGGAGACAAAACTACTGGAACAAGAGCTCTATTAGCCTAATGCTTCGGAGTCGCACTTTAATCTGTAGCCGTTTACCGGGCCTGTTGCAGTTTTAGACAAAGCAACCATGTCAGAAACACCGGAAGACTACTCCGGACGGGGGCGGCCGAGCATGCAACAGGATTGAGGAGGAAAGACGGCAGCTCCCAAGTCACCACTCATTCGACTGGACCCAACCATACACTTCAGTTTGACGAAGGAGAGATTCATGCTAGAGGCAACATCCCCGTGAGCCGCGAACTGCCGAATCATGGTCTTCCGGTCCTCAGTCAACCAAAGGCGCAGCGATCTCCCCGCTCCACATTCGACAATGAGACTTTGCCTAGGTAAAATAATTAGCAGTAAGGAGGGCGCGCGGGTGATCAGCGGTTCTGGTGTGAATGTCGGAGAGCCAAATTGCCCAAAAGTCCACACAGGTGACAAGATCCGGCAGTCAGCAATTCGACTGCGTGCGATGAGAGAGGGAACCAATAATCATGACCGGCACACAAGGGTACAGCAATTGCATACTTCAACACCTGGTCAGTCGACTAGCAATGCACTCGGGAACTGTCACGTAGGCATGTAGCGGCCTAGCAACCATATCCTATAAATACTGCAATACCTGGGCAATTTGCTACCCTTATCGGACTCTTTCCCTGACAATGGATCAAACTAAGAATCCGGAACGTCAGGCTGATGAAGCCCTCGTTCCAGCGATCGTGTCTTCTCCCTTGTCTTCGTCTGTGATTTTCATCTACATATGTTTCTGGTCGCTAACTGACTGTCTGTGACGACTTTACATTAAACCTCACGACGCAAAGGGACACGTAAGTCCCGCAACCCGATCGGTGAGCGTCCTTACTGCGATAATGGTACACACCAGTCTGATCACTATTTAGGGCTGGCGCGAGTGCTCAACTCAGTTTGGAAGTCTAGGATGATCCG